GGTCTCTCCTGCCCAGGCTGGCTTTGAACCGAGATCCTCAGATCTCAGCCTCCTGAGTAGCTAGGATTACAGGCATGAGCCACCAGCGCCCGGCTAAGGGAGGAACTTTTTAAAAAAGATGAAAATAAGTAAAATTTCAATTAAAAATACTGTAGCTCCTTGTTCCTGATGATTTCCCCTACCATTTGAATCATCACTATAGGGAGACTTGGAGGGGAAATACCTGTGGTTTGAGTTTAGCTGCTTTAGAAAGGTGGGGTGGTAGGAGCAAGGTGCTGGTGGCTCAGGCCTATAATCTAGCTACTCTACAGGCTAAGATCTGAGGATTGAAATTCAAAGCCAGCCTGGGCAGGAAAGTCTGTAAGACTCTTATCTCCAATAAACCACCAAAAAACTGGAAGTGGCACTGTGGCTCAAGTGGTAGAGCACTAGCCTTGAGTTGAAGAGCTGAGGGACACTGACCCAGTCCCAGAGTTCAAAGCCCCATGACCGACAAAACAGGGGGAAGGGGGAGCCATGGGTGACATGGCTCATACCTATAATCCTAGTAGCTACTCAGGAGGTTGAATCTGAGGATCCCTGTTCAAAGCCAATCCAGGCAGACAAATCAGTGAGACTCTATCTCCAATTAACCAGCAAACTGTTGGAAATACAGGTATGGCTCAAGTGGTAAAACATCAGCCTTGAGAGGAAGAAGCCAAGTGAGAACAAGAGGCCCTGAGTTCAAATCCCAGTTTTAGCACAAGCAATAAAAATCCTGTGCATCATGTGGTCTAGTCACTGGTGATATGATATATTTAGGACAGTTATTTAGTTAGTGTGAAATAACTTCCAGAAAGCACTGTCCTCATTTAGGAAATGGGTGTTGCACAGATACCTGAGCAATGGTACATTTCCTCTACTGCTGATGCTTGCATGCTTTCTTCCATCAACCAAATGTTCACAGTGAGTCAGTGAGTAGAGCGTAATCTTTCCTTAATAGTCTAGCCTCAAATCCAGTTAGAGACTTATCAACACTGAGAAAAAAGGTATTTCTAGTATTCATCAATTCATTGACAAATGAGGGTCAAGAACTGCATGCTACAAATGCTGTGGACAATAGTGGAGGCTCAGTTGAGGCCTCCTGCCTTAAACTTTCTGTGATCTTTGTTCTGAGCAGAAAGAAGATAGCCCAAATTCTCAGGTAACCAAATTACGAGAGAAATTGCAGCTGATCAGTGCTCTCACAAACAAACCTGAAAGCAATAGTCCTCCAGAGACTGCAGATGAAGGTGAGTGCGGGCCTAGCTTCTTGAATATTTCACGCAGGCTTGGGCAACTTGCCTCCCACACAGAGTGGGAAAGGTGTTTCAGCAGCACTGATCGAACCAAGTGAGTAATGCCTGAGCGCACTGAGATGAAGCTGATGCACTTTGCTTTCATTTAGTAAAACCATTTTGTACATGATTTGTACTCTAGTCTATTAAGGGAAGAATGGGTAATGTTTAGCTGGAAATAGACTTCTCCATGCTGTCTGCATCCAATTATAGGTAAAAATGTTACTGTCGTAGTGAATTCTAAACCAGCCCTAAATGTTGTTCATGAGCCTTTCCATTTTGTAAGTGCATAAAATTTACTTAAAAATAAATATTATTAGCACTTTTGAAAATCATTAGCATAATGGAACTATTGGGGTGGGGGGGCACATGGCTTTAGGTAGAGACAGTTATATAGCAAATGCATTAATTAACCTTTACTGATTTAGGCCCTTTGAGAAGACAACAAAAGCATTTTTCAGTGTTGGCTTTGATCTATCATCCTACAAGTATTTTTTGGAAAAAGTAGTTTTGGAAAAGCAGAACTACCATAGAGGCCTTATAACACTGTGCTACATAATCTTATGCTAACAGCCTTTGTTCCAGCTCAGCTGGTAGCATATACTCCCAGACTAGGCTTATAGCACATCTCCCAAGAAGTCAAAACATCATTAATATCCAACCACTGGGCTGCTTTATCATCTCATTGTGGGTTTTTTTGTTGTTGTTGTTTTTGAGGGGGGGGGGTCTGATCATGGGGCCTGAACTCTGGGCCTGGGCGCTGTCCCTCGGCTCTTCAGCTCAAGTCTAGCGCTCTACCACTTGAGCCACAGTGCCACTTCTGGCTTTTTTCTTTTAGCTTATGTGGTGCTGAGGAATCAAACCCATGCCTCATGCATGCAAGGCAAGCGCTCTACCATTGAGCCACCTTCCCAGCCCCTCTCATTGTGTTTTGCCATCTGCCTTACCATCTAAAGGCATATAATACTAACCTCTACTGCCACTTGAGTAAGTCTCTTATGCGAAATGTTTGAGACCTCAAGTATTTCTTTTTTTTTTTCTTCCTCAAGTATTTCTGATTCCAAATTTTTTTCAAATTTTGGAATACTTGTATAGACATAATGAGATATTACTCAAGTCTGAAAATAAATACATAGCCTGATGGCAATTTTAATTGTGACCATCACATGTGGACTTCTCCACTTACGTCAACACTCCAAAATTTTTGAATTTTGAAGTATTTCAGATTATGGATTCTCAAATTAGAGGTGTTTCACCTTCGTAACATCTTTCAGGGTACTGCTGCTTTAAACCTTCATGTTAACATAATACTGATTCATCCTCACTTGTCCACCAGCATATCTCAGTCCAACCCTTTATCATTACATAATCTCTGCTACTTAATATTTAATTGTTTCTTTTAAATGAATACATGGGCAATTTCCCTAAATAGTGACCTTCAGTGCTTGTTTAATTTGCTGTTGGAATTGACTATCCTAAAAGTGTATGTATTTGTTACAGAACAAGTGCAGAATTTTACATCAAAGCCTTCAGCATTGCCAAAATTTTCACAGTTTCTTGGAGACAAAATTGAGAAAGCTACCCAGTTAAAACCTATCTCCCTACCAGGAATTTCTAGCCTTGAAGGTAAGTTTCTATACTGTGGGGTAATGGTGGGAAGGTTCCATGTCATAACTTTTTTGTATGGTACTGAAGTTTTAACTCAGGACCTCAAGATTGCTAGCCTAAGTGCTAACTCTTTTTGGGGTGGCGAGACGGGGGCAGTTGTGGGGTTCGAACTCTGGGCCTAGGAGCTGTCCTTGCATTCTTCAGCTCAAGGCAAGTGCTCTACCACTTCTGGTTTTCTGGTGGTTTATTGGAGGTTAAGAGTCTCATGGACTTTCCTGCCCAGGCTGGCTTTGAACCATTATCCTCAGATCTCAGCCTCCTGAGTAGATAGGATTACAGGTGAGCCACTGGTGCCCAGCTTGTGTGCTAACTCTTTTAACTCATACCTCTAGCTCTTCTTTTTGCTGGTTAGTTTGGAGATGAAGTCTAGCAAACTTTTATGCCCAGACTGGCCTCAAACTGTGATTCTCCAGATTTTAGCCTCCTGAATATTACAGATGTGAATCACCTGGACCCAGCCAAGGTTGTAACTTTTTACTTTTTAAGTTGTATAAAAAAAATAAAAATATGGGGGCTGGGAAAAATATGGGTTGGCTCAGTGGTAGAGTGCTTGCCTCGCATGCATGAGGCCCTGGGTTCGATTCCTCAGCACCACATAAGCAGGGGAAAAAAGCCAGAAGTGGCGTTGTGGTTCAAGTGGTAGAGCACTAGCCTTGAACTGAAGAGCTGAGGGACAGTGCCCAGGCCCAGAGTTCAGATCCCATGACTGGACCCAAAAAATAAATAAATAAATATAAATAAATATAAATATCTAGCTGGGCACCAGTGCCCAGGCCCAGAGTTCAAGCCCCACAACTAAACAACAACAACCGGGCTGGGAAGGTGGCTCAGTGGTAGAGTGCTTGCCTTGCATGCATGAGGCCCTAGGTTCGATTCCTCAGCACCACATAAGCAAAAAGAAAAAAGCCGGAAGTGGCGCTGTGGCTCAAGTGGTAGAGCACTAGCCTTGAGCTGAAGAGCTGAGGGATAGCGCCCAGGCCCAGAGTTCAGGCCCTACGACCGGACCCAAAAAAAAAAAAACAACAACAACCAAAAAGTATCTTAACATTTATTTGAGTACTTATAAGCCACATACTTTATTTGCATCACCATCTTGTAAACATAAGTCTGGGCACTCAGTAAGTGGTTGAGGCAGAATTCAAGCTGACTGACAGCAAAGCTTATACTCTTAAGCAATGTACCGTATTGTAGAGGACAAAATGAAGACAGTACTGTGAGGTTAGTAAAATGATGATCCTCCAAAAATGAGAAGCCCTTTGCTGAAAGTCAACAAGAGAAACATCATAGGAAGATAAGCATATTTGCCTTCGAATAGTGTGTTCTGCTCTTTATTGTGATGTCAAAACCTCCCAGCATTTGCTGGGAAATCACCCATTTCTCTCCACTTACCTTTCTTTGACCCTTTACTTTAGGTACCATGCCACTAGGAAACATATCCTAACAGAAATTTTATTTTTGCATACTACTAGAAAGTATGGAGCATGAAGTATGAGTTTCATAAACTCATCCCCTCCTCCACACACACACTCTCTCTCTCTCTCTCTCTCTCTCTCTCTCTCTCTTGAAATCTAGCACTTGGTGACAGGCATCTGGAAAAAGTTTCCTATCTATTTTTCTGGCTCTCAGAGAGCTTTTGAGGTTTTACTAGCTGCATTGCCCAGCTTCTGACAGGAGTGATAGTAGGGCGCTATTTAGAAATTGGCAAGAATGCTTTGATTCACTTCCCAAATCCATCTCTCCTTCCTTTTTCATTCTTCCTGAGTATCAAACAGTACCCCCATTAAATCAAAGAGGCATTCAATGAAGAAAAGAAAATGAATTTTAGATGATTTTTAAAGAAACATAAGCCCCATTTACCTTCTTCAGTATTAGAATCTAAATCAGTCAGTTGATTATAGGAACACAATCAAATTCTTCTTTTAAGCCTCCTGAGTTCAGACATGAACCACCTGCACTTGGTATCACCAACAAACACTTTTTTTTTTTTTTGACCAGTCATGGACTTGAATTTGGGGCCTGGGCAATATCTGAACTTTTTTACTCAACGCTAGTACTCTACCACCTTGAGCCACAATGCCACTTCTGTCATTTTCTCCTTATGTTGAACTGAGGGATTGAACACAGGGCTTCATGCATACTAAGCAAGCAGTCTACCACATTCCCAGTTCAACAAATACTCTTTTTTTTTTTTTGTCAGTCGTGGGTGCTGAACTCTGGGCCTGGGCACTGTCCCTCAGCTCTTCAGCTCAAAGCTAGTGCTCTACCACTTGAGCCACAGCGCCACTTCCAGCTTTTTTCTGCTTATGTGGTGCTGAGGAATCAAACCCAGGGCCTCATGCATGCGAGGCAAGTACTCTACCACTGAGCCAACTTCCCAGCCCTAACAAATCTTTTTGATGATGGTTCTCCTGGTGATTAGGAAGTGACAGCTTAATATAATCTTGAGTCCCTGGTTCTTAAGCTGACACCTCATAGAAAGAACACCAGACTACGTAATAATAAAACATGTTCTCTAGTCCATTTCTAAGACTCAGGCAAGTTACTTTCACTTTTGAGCTTTGGTTTTTCTATCAAAATTGAGTTTGGGGGATTATTATTGCTTGTAGACAACTAAAACATTCCTCCGTTCCCCACACAGCCATCCAGCAAGATTCTCACAATATGCCATGGTCTGCTTTACAGACTAGTTCCTATAAATAAGCTTCTGTGCTTCTGTACCTCCCTTCAATGTAAAGTAAAGGGAAGAAAATTTAAAGGGAAGGGGCTGGGAATGTGGCTTAGTGGTAGAGTGCTTGCCTAGCATGCATGAAGCCCCTGGGTTCAATTCCTCAGTACCACATAAACAGAAAAAGCTAGAAATGGAGCTGTGGCTCAAGTGGTAGAGTGCTAGCCTTGAGCAAAAGAAGCTCAGGGACAGAGCCCAGATCCTGAGTTCAAGCCCCAGGACTGGCAAAAACAAAAAATGAAAATTTAAAGAGAAGGCCCTGGCCAGGGAGAAAACCAGGCCATACATTTCTCCATTGTGTCACTATAGGATAGTGCCATTTGGTATTCATCTTGTTTTTAAAGGATTGAAAATTGCTCTTTATGATTCAGTGAGATCCTAAACATAAACATTTTTTGAAATAATATCTGCAAAGGAGCTTTTCTTTTATTGCTTTAAAGTCATTTGAGGCTACTGTTTTTTCATTGGTACTGGGACTTGAATCCAGGGTTTTGTGCTTGCTTGCTTGCTCATTTCTGGTTCTCTACCATTTGAGCCATGCCATCAGCCTAGCTTTTGAGGGATTAATTGGAGATGGAGTCTCACAAACTTTTCTTCCTGGCCTGCTTTTGAGCCATAATACTCCAGGTCTCATTCTCCTAAGTAGATAGGATTGCAGGCATGAACTACTGGCTTACCTGACTTGAGGCTACTTTTAGCTATATTCAGCTGTATGCATAAACACACACATTTTTTGCAATTCCTTTTGACAGATCTTCAGAATTTGTTCCACAAGACTGGCCAGGATATGAATGGGACGTTGACCTACCAAGAAATCTGGAATCTCCTAGGCTCTTCTATGCCAGAACAAGAAAGCTTGAGAGCATTTGATTCCAATGCGGATGGAAGATACTCATTCCTGGAGCTAAGAGTAGCTTTAGGTGTCTAAATTCATCAGGCATACTTGGAAATGGAGATAGACCCCTAACTACCTAAAATCTATTTACCCAACATAAACCACCATTTTTCCTACCCAGCTGCCCCTCATGTCCTCCAAACTACTGTAGCAGACACATTGCCACCTTTTAACTTGTTTGAAAAAACTATATAAAAATTATTTTTTTAAAAAAGAAAACCATATTACTTATAATATGATAGTCAGAAGTCTATGGTTTCTTGAAACCAGTAAGCTCTTACATTTTAAAATCACCAGGAAAAAAAAAGCCCCCTTTTTTTTTTCTCTTTCTCTCTCCTTTTTTTAAGGAGGAGACCTTATCTTTTAAAACTGGAAAGTGTATATAGAAAGAGAATAGCTACCTTTTATATTTCATATAAATTTGCCTTAAATTAGCTGCACTTTATAGAGACTCAGAAACTGTCTTTTCTTTAAAAGATAGACCTTTTCTGCTTGTAAATATTTAAAACGAAAGAAAAGTTGTGCATATTGTATGAAAAGTAGGAAGAAAGGTTTTGAACAGGATGTGAACAAATGACTTATTAAAGATTGTTAATCTGATCTGCATAGCAGTTAAAACTATGTCCACATCTCCTTAAGGAATCCCTCTGCCCAGGTGCTGCCACGGGGTTTGGCCTGGGAGCTGAGGGAATTAATTCAGGGAATGGACACTGGAGATAGCCTAGCTCCAGGCTCAGGAAAGTCAGATTCTGGGTCTTTGTTCCTGCTCTCTCAGTTAACCTCAACCTAGAACCAGAGAAGTCTTGTTGAGGATCTTTCTCATTTTTAATCTTCTGTTAGGGTTTTTGAGCATTAAAAAGTTATCCAGTGGGGATCTGTATTTTCCTCACAAGTAAGCTAGATTATCTCCCCCTACCCACAACTCAAGTCTATCTTAGAGCTATAGCTGGCTCCTACCTTCAGAATGCCCTCCATTCTATTATGGCAGAACCCAAGTCCCTTGTCACCATCACAAACTGGCCACCAGAATATTTGAAGAATGCTATGCTTATGGTTTTGACTCTAGAAGCTATACCCCTTGGGATTTTACATGGGGGCTAACTGAGAACATGATAAATTCCTTGGTAGGATGACTAATGCAAAAAAGAGTATGAAGTGAAAATCATATTCATCAGCTCAGAACTTGTAATTAGTGGTTCTCTGCCCAGAAGGTGCCAAACTACAGCAAACAAGCCTGGAGCAAGAGTCCTCACAAGATGGTAGAAGCCCTTAAATTCTTCTTTGGACTTGCCACAAAAGGTCCCTGGGCCGGAAGGATAATACCTTCTTGTCATCTCTACACTGAGTTAGACTCATGAGTTGGTGTTCCTAGGAGCAGTCTTTGAGCAACACTAAAGGAACACTTAACTTTACCAAATTTAATTTTGCTGTAGCCAAGTGGGAGAAACTAGAGAAGCTTTTTAGTAGAGAACATTTCCCTTTAACTTATCCAAGTTGCCATCAGCCGTGGATGCAGTCCAGTACCCTTACATATTTAAAGGTTAGTTTTTTTTCTTTACATGATAGCTTTGTGTTGGCTAACTTTAATTTTTTTCAAGAAGTATTAAAGTTTAATTAAAGTGAGACAAAGTCTTTCCGTGAATATATGTACTTATGTCATGATTTATGTTTTTCCCATTTAAATTTTTTTCCCTTAACATTTACCTTGCCCATTTATGCTATTTCATTTTCTTGGAAAGGTTAATAAAATATAGTTTAAAAGTAGCCTGGCACTTTAGGTAACTTGAAGATAACTCTTGGTCTTCTAGCTGCCTTCCCTGCCCTCCCTGCCCCCACAACACACTTTTTAATATATACACTCTTACAAATTTTGTAACAACCAAATAAAGTTCTAGCAATAAATTGAATTATACTGCTATATTTGTATACACCGTACCATAAATAGTGTGTCTGTACCTGGAAGGTATTTTTTTGAGAACTGATTTATATGAAATATATTGAGGGTAATGTAGCTTGTCCTTTTTAGTTTTGAGTTCTTATTCATAGGCAGATACTTTCAGGACACTTTAACTCTTTGTGGTATGTACTTTTGTTTTGCATCTCCTTTTAGTTTTTCTTCTCATCTGGAGCTTGTCTGCAAGCATCACCCCTGAGCCATGTGTAGTGCCATCCCCTCCCCTACCAAGTTAGCAGTGTCTCCATACTGCACTTGGTCCCATGATACCATGTCATTTGTCCCAGACAGAGGTAGGTATCTTGACACTACCTTTGTTCAAAGTTGAACAGACTCACTGGCCTAAGAGCCACAGCAGCCTATCACACAATGTTGATTTGGGATTTTCATTTGTATGTTGTCCTAATTTATCAGCCTGTGCCTGCACTGAGCAATAGTGAACCCTCACCGGCCACATCTCAGCGTTGAGAAAGAGATTGGGTAGTAGTGAGTTTGCCTTTGGTTTCAAATCCTTTTGTCCTTAAAGTCTGGTGATTCCTAGTGCTTCTCTCCTAAATTTCAAAACTAATTTGTTTTGTTGACTCATGCTTTCTGGAGTAATGTTTACTTAAAGAACTTCCTCAAGTCCAATAGGGTAGCTCACACCTGTAATCCTTGCTCTGGGGAGGCTGAGGCAGAAGGAAGGATCAAGAGTTCAAGACCAGCCAGGCGCTGGTGGCTCAGGCCTGTAATCCTAGCTACTTAGGAGGCTGAGATCTGAGGATTGCGGTTCAGAGCCAGCCCGGGCAGGAGAGACTGTAAGACTCCTATCTCCAATAAACCACCAGAAAACCGGAAGTGGCGCTGTAGCTCAAGTGGTAGAGTGCTCGCCTTGAGCTGAAGAGCTGAGGGACAGCGCCCAGAGTTCAAGCCCCACGACCGACAAAAAAAAAAAAAAGAGTTCAAGACCAATCTGAACTTGTAAATCAGTCAGACAGGTAATGTGGAAATAAAGCCAAAGGAAGAGAACACCTGGCTTCAAGATGAATTCAGGGTTGTCTGAAGGCAGAGTAGTGCCTGGCCTTCAGAAATGGGTCCTATGCAACAAAGCCAAAGAAGTGGGCGCCCCCTACTTCTGCATTTTGCCTTCCTTGTGGTTTCCTTTCTTTGCCTTTGCTGGTCATCGCTCCTCAGCACCCAGCCTGCCAGTCACAGTGCAAGGTTTTGATTGTGATGGGCTCATGTTCACAATGGCCTATTTTAGTGACAGCTTTTGTTTGCTACACACCTCATTGGCTTGCTTGCCAACACCAGCTAGATGTGTGTCCTTTCATTTCCAAACCAGAACACATTTGTGTATTCCTGTGACTTGATAGAGCATGTATTGTAAATGAACCTAACCTACCTTGTTTTCTCATTTTAAGAAATGTAAATCTACTTTGTTTTAGAAGATCGATTTTGGAAATGGATAAATGATTTTGGTTCCCTTAGGGAATTAATCAAGGGTTTCGTGACTTGAGCTTTGCCATTTTTATTTGTCTAAATAAAATATTTCCTTCCTTTCAACTATGTCTTTCTAAAGAAGCCTCCCTATTCCCTTCTTTTTAAAAATCTGGTTTGATCCTAGTTTTATGAACTCCTTCCTCTTGAAATCGAAGACTAATAGATGATAGACACAAAGCAATGTTCAGAAACCTACCATAAGAATTGCAACATTTGCTCTTGGCGTTGGTGGCTCATACCTAGTCCTTGCTACTCAGGAGGCTGAGATCTGAGGATTGCAATTCAAAGCCAGCCCAGACAGGAAAGTCCGTGAACTCATCTCCAATTAACCACCAGAAAACCAGAAATGGCACTGTGGCTCAAGTGGTAGAGTGCTTGCCTTGAGGTGATTAGCTTAGGGACAGCTCCCAGGCCCAGAGCTCAAGCCCCATGACCAACCAAAAAAAGCGGGGGGGGCTGGGAAGGTGTCTCAGTGGTAGAGTGCTTGCCTCGCATGCATGAGGACCTGGGTTCAATTCCTCAAAAGCCAGAAGTGGTGCTATGGCCCAGGTCCAGAGTTCAAGCCCAGGACTGACAAAAAAAAAAGACTTGTAGCATATTTGGCCTAAAGGAGTAAGCAGAGCTCAGGCTTTAGTCACATGCAGAATGGCAGAGGGCAAGGTGATGCCTGTTTCAATAAGAGGCTCAAACATTTAGGTCTGTTTTATATGTTGAGATTCAATATAAAAGGCATGCTTCCCAGGTAGATTCTACCACTTTGGAGCAGGAAAAAAAGATAAAACCTATTGCTAGAGAGAAGTCATAGATAGGTTTGGGGTTTCTCCACAAACCTCTGCTTCTCCTAGGGGAAGTCCTTGCATAAAACCTACATAATTTGCAAATATGAGTTTATACACAAGGCATATAACTAGGAGGAATATCGAGTCTGTACACAAGTACTAACTCAGTGTGCCTCCCCATAGCCAACCTCCAGTTCCAGGGTTGTATTGGTGAGACTCATGACCAAGTTGGTTTGCAAAGTGCTCCCACCAAACAGGAAAGGAATTGCCTTCAAATAAGCAAAGGAGATGTAGCAGAGTCTTAGACTTTTTAATTTTCCATACAGTGACAACCAGATGGGCTCTGACCTCTGTCAATAACCACCTTGAAGTTAGTTCCATTTCCTACTCTGCCCCCTGGTCCCTGCAGCCCCACCTTCATCGAGCGGAAGCTACAGTTCTGAAGCAAAAGGCTTGGCGTTGAAGCAGTTCCCCCTGTGGGCCAGTGTGGGTAAGGAATGGAAGTGGACATTCCTTTCAGGACAGTTGGCCAGAGGGTAGGATACAGAGTGGTTCAGCATAGGAGGTAGGTTGCAGAGGGACAGAGCAAAAGGCACCTCCTGAAAGATGGGAATTGGGAGTGGGGAGCTGGTCTGGGGCTGTGATGGGGAAGAAAGGGGCTGCTGTGGGACCACAAGAGCAGGTTGTGGGGGGCCAGGAGCCTCACCCCTAGGACTGCTCTCTGGGACCACATAGGCTCTGCCTTCTGGGATGTCCATCTCCCACAGAGAATCTGGATTCTGGACTTCAGTCTCCATCTTGGTGGCAGCAGGAGGAGGGCCGGTATTAATGGCTGTATTCATGCCATAGTGACGTCGCTTGTTTATCCAGTACAGCAGTGGGCTGTAGGTGAATGTAGCAGCTCTCATCACCTCCACCCACTGCTGGGCACGCTCTTCCCGCCGCAGGTTCTTCTTCCAGTGAAGAAAGAGAATGCAGCTGCCCGTGACCACAGAGCACAGCCCCAGGAAACCAAAGTACAGCAAGACCCACACTAAGGAAGAGAAAAAAAAAAAAAAAGAGACAGGCTGGCTGATGGTGCTCTAGTTTGGGATCTGAGCTGTCCCTCATTTATTTCCTTGAACCAATCAATCACCCCAGCCAATTAACTCTTCTCATGACTCCTTCCCTCCCTCCTCCTAGGTTTGTGTCATCATTCTTTTATTCAGAGATGGAAAGTTCTAAGGAGCTTAAAGATGATAATAAAAAAGCTAGATCTAGAGGAGACATGATCTGGCCAGGTTGTCAGACTCCCAGCCTAGGAACCTATCCAGTCCACTGGACTGAGAAGTCTCATTAAGGGCTATTTAAGGAAATGATTCAGCTGTTGACAGGGACACCAATGTATCCCCTCTGGTTGGGCAGAGAATGGTCTCTGCCTTCTCTTTTTTGTTGTTGGTGGTGGTGGTTGTGGGCCTTGAACTCTGGGCCTGGGTGCTGTCCCTCATCTCTTCAGCTTAAGGCAAGAGCTCTACCACTTAAGCCACAGCACTACTTTTAGTTTTCTGGTGGTTAATTGGAGATAAGAGTATCATGGACTTTCCTGCCCGGGCTGGCTTTGAACCAAGATCCTCAGATCTCAGCCTCCTAGGTAGCTAGGATTACAGGCATGAGCCACCAATGCCTGGCTTTCTGCCTTCTCTTTCTAGAAGAGACTGTTTCCTTTTAGCACCCCATTCGTGCAAATTTTTCTTTGTCCCCACACCTAAGGACACAAAGTGAATGGCGGGATTCAGGATATACTTACTGCCAGAGAGGCTCAGGTCCTGTTGGGAATCCATAAGGATGTGCATTGGTACCCAGCCCACTGCTCTGGGGCGAGGAAACTCATCCACTGATCTGTCACCAATGGGATCCTCAGAAGGCCCAGGACCTCATTGTTGCCTAAGGGAGAGGTCACCAAGTTCTGAGCACTGAGCATTCCAGGGGCAGTGCTTATGAGATAATGCAACAAAGGGCCATCCACTAGTATCTCATGAACCTAGTGTGTCTTATTTTATCAGAGATTGGTCCACCCCTTGTGGTGAACCCATAGAGCATCCCCCAGGGCTCATACTAGGGCCTCACACTCTCAGAGTCTTACCCATGTTGGTCACTAGGAAACCATGGCCAGACACCTTGTGTGTGGGGGAGGGGGGGGAGAGGAGAGGGGTGGCAGTGCAGGACAGAGGAGTACATAGTGTTCTCATGAGAAAACTTGCTCAAGAGAACATCTACGCAGCTGATCAATGCTTCCCTCTTTGTCTCCTACAATCTCTCTTCTGTTTCACTTTCTTCCTTCCAATAAATGCTGGTATGGGTTTCTGGGACATCAAGCCCTGTAGGATTTCCCCTTTATCTGGTCCTAGCCTTCCCTTTCCAATCCTCATACTCCTTTCCCTTCTAGCCATGTTAGAGTGAACAGACTCCAACATCCAAGTACTTCTCTCAGTTAGATCACTGGTTTTCCTGAATGGTAAACAACCATCCTGTTTGGCCAGGATTAAAAGGATATCCAGGACATGTTTCTTAACCCAAGAGTGGCTCTTTACTGAACATTTGCGTATCCTCTCAGGTTCGGCTCATATGCCTGCTCTGTGGCAAACAATTATTTCCATTATCTTCCCAGAATCACATTATCTCTGAAGAGATTGGGACAGTTGTAGAATCCACCTGACATCAGATGCTTAAAGTTCTGGGGGCAAGGGGAGACAGATCTTCCTTATTCAACAAGTCCCTTAAGACTCAAGTCAGAGACTTGTTTAACATGTCCCAGTGACGCTTGATCCATTTATGGAATAGTTCAGAGAGTCCTTTCTAAAAAGCCTGTCAGCTCCCAGTGGCATGCACCACTGGACCAAGCTTGGCTTCTCAACACAATTTAATTCCTTCTCTGCTAGTTCCCCAATGAGGGACTTGAGGCACTATTTACACAGAGTTCTCCACAGTGTCCACTTACCCTTGGCTCTCCTTATCACTGGCCTCTGCTTGTTAGAGTTCTTTGCTGGTTTAATCTTATTTCCCTCCTAAGTGTCATCAGGCTTCCAGGCTCTCAGGTTCAGTCTTAGGCTCTGTCTACATTCAGTTCTCAATGAATTCATGGGTTAATATCTAGAACTTTATGTCTCCAATTAGGATATACCTCAGAACTTTATACTCATATACTCTACAACTTAGGTTATGTCCCTCGTTTCTGATCAAATATGTCTCAAACCAAACTCCTTATCATTCTTCCTCCTATAAGTACCCTTCTTCCTTTCTGTAAACAGAAACACTTTCTAGTTCAGACCCAAACCCTGTAAGTCATCCTTGACTCCTTTCATTCTATCACACCTGTCTGTGCAAAATCTTTAGGCTTTTCTTTCAAAATATACCCCAAATCTGACCACTTTTTCCCTCCCATCATTTTAGTCCAGGTACTTCTCTCAGCTAAATCACTGGTTTTCCTGGAGGGTAAACAACCAACTTGTTTGACCAGGATTAAAAGGGTATCCAGGACATGACACTTTGAATACTAAAGCCAAAAGAATCCTGGGTAAAACAATAAGTCACTCTTGTGAACATTTCAATCTTTGCCACCACATATCATCCTAAATTTCACCAGCAGCCAGAATGATTTTTTTTTTGGCAGTACTGGAGTTTCAACTCAAGGCCTCGCATTTGGTCAGCTTACTTGCTTAGCTGGTACACTGGAGTACTCATCCAGCCTAGCTCTTCAAAAGTTATTTGAGGGCTGGGAAGTTGGCTCAGTGGTAGAGCGCTTGCCTTGCATGCATGAGGCCCTGGATTCTATTTCTCAGCACCACATAAGCAAAAAGAAAAAAGCCAGAAGTGGCGCTGTGGCTCAACTGGTAGAGCGCTAGCCTTGAGCTGAAGGGCTAAGGAACAGCACCCAGGCCCAGAGTTCAGGCCCCACGAGCGGACCCCCCCAAAAAAAAAGTTATTTGAGAGATGGGGGTCTTTCAGACTCTTCTGCCTAGACTGATTTCAAATCAGAATATTCCAGATCTCAGCTTCTTGAGTAGCTAGTATTATTTAGGCCTCAGCCACCAGCACCTGCTCTGAATGATCCTTTTGAGCCGACCTCTGCTCAAAATCTACAGAGATTCCCCATCTCACATTAAAAATCACAGTCCTTAAGGCAGGCAAAGCCCTGAACACTTTAACCCACACCCCGGTCCCATGCCTCCTTAGTCTCAGCTGCTGTTTCTTTCACTCTCTGAGATGCAGTAGCCTCCTTTCTCTTCCCAAAGTATTCTTCTGTATCAGGGCCTTTGTACGTGCTATTCTTCCTACCTGAAAAAGAGGGAATAATGTCCTTCCTTCCTTTCCTTCGGGTTCTTGAGTGTCTCCTGATCTCTATCTCTCAGCCTGCTGTTTTTCAGTATAGCAGTATATGCCTATTTGTTGCCTATCTCCACTGGAATGTAAGCTATATGAATTAATGTAAACAAGGATTTGAGGATTTCAGATAGTGATAACTCCTGTGAAGGTAGTAAAATAAAAGGGCAAATAGGATAAAAACAGACCGTAAAAGGATGGAGAGATTCATTTAAAAAGATTAAAAGAGAGGGGCCTGGGAAGGTGGCTCAGTGGTAGAGCACTTGCCTTGCATGCATGAGGCCCTGGGTTCGATTCCTCAGCACCACATAAGCAAAATGAAAAAAGCCGGAAGTGGTGCTATGGCTCAAGTGGTAGAGTGCTAGCCTTGAGCTGAAGAGCTGAGGGACAGCGCCCAGGCCCAGAGTTCAGACCCCACGACCGTAAAAAAAAAAAAAAAAAAGATTAAAAGAGAGATTCATTTATGTTTGAGGTATTGACACATGAACTAAACCTTAGGTGATAAAGAGGCAGCAATGTGCTGTCTGAGCAAGAAGAGCAATTGTGTGTGCTAACCAGCACACTAGAAATTAGAAATATCCCACCACATGGTGCCCTGTGTGGGCAGGACTGACCTCCCATGAGAGCAAGTGGCATTGAGTAGAACTGAAGGCTCTGTCCCTGCCACACGCCAGGTTTCTATGGGGTAAGACACAAGCAGACAAGAACTCCATGCAAAAAACCAATCTAGTACTCACTGGCCACTACCTCAAAAGTGAATTTTGCAATTTGTGGGTGAGGATGGGAGGGGAAAATGGGGAGAGTGAGGAAAGGGGTGACACTGTCTTACCTGACATGTAACTGTAACCCCTCTGAACATCACCTTTATAATAACTATTTAAAAACAAAAAAAATTAAAAGGCAAATTATTGCCTGCCCTCACAGAGGGATCATTCATGCTGGGAGCAGCTGAGATTTTACAGCTGAGAGCTTACACCTTGTTCAGATGAGGAAGCTGGTGACCTGTGGGTTGAGAAAGGGAGAGGATATCCCAGGGATCACAAAGAACCCAAATAAGGCTGGTTCCTTGTGAACCGTTATTACTTTGCTCTGCATACAGCTGCCTCTCCTGTCTCTCTCAAGGAAGAAGAGTAAGTAGTCCATCTTGGCTGGAACTCCAGTGGGAAACAAGGCTTGGGAGGTAGCTGGCAACTTAAGAGACTTCCTCGTCTGTAAAATGAGGGGGATCTCTGCCTCACTTGACGTGAAGCCCAAGTAGTGGTTTGCGGATAGAGGCCTCAATGGAAAAACTGCAGCTGCGCTGACGGGACCTGGCTGTGGAAGGACAGACAGCTTACAGCGAGGGCCACGTGAATGCAGCTGGAAATGAGCTTGGCTACGACCGGAAGGTCCCGGCTGGCTGTCAAGAGGAGACTTGGCGCGCAAGGACTGCTGGTCCCGGGAGGGAGGGTGTAAATCCCGGCAGGCTCCCGGGAAGAGGCGGGCCGGGGCCGCCGGGGCGGCGAGAGCGCTCGGGAAGGGCCGCGCAGCCGGACCCCCGCCCGGGCTCCCGCCTTCGGCGAGGCCGGAACTTTGGGCGTGCGGAACCTCGGAGGCGGAGCGCGGGCGCTGAGGACCCGGAGGGAGATGGAGAGTGCGCGCGGGCCGGGGGCTGAGGCCGAGACGCCTGAGGAGGAAGAGCCGGAGGCGGGGGAGACCATGGCGGCCGTGGTGTCCGCGGCCGGTGGCGCGGGCCCGGCGGTCCTGCAGGTGGCCGGCCTCTACCGGGGTCTGTGCGCGGTGCGCAGCCGCACGCTGGCACTGGGGTTCGTGTCGCCCGCACAGCTGCGCGTGTTCCCCGTGCGCCGCGACAGCACGGACAGCAAAGGGGTGGGGTCGGAGCTGGAGGCCAACCCCTTCTACGACCGCTACCGGGACAAGATCCAGCAGCTGCGCAGGTGCGGGGGG